GGAAAGCTGGCTATGATCATCTACCATATTATGTTTAACACATGCAGGACAATGATCAGATAAGTGATTCAATGGCCAAACAAAAAAGTTCTGAACATTGGGGGAGGGGGATTAATAAATAAAGGAAAGCAATTAATTTTTAAATTTCAAATTTTTTAGGTCACCATAAAATGATTAGCAGTTTCTAATACAAAAGATCGTGTTTGAATCAAACTTCTCTTATTCAGTGTCCTATCAAATTATGCAACAAAAACAAGCCTAGGTATTTCAACTAACAGCTTCTGCTTATTTTCTTATTACACTGTACACTCATGACATCAGTCACCAAATATTTAGTACAAGTTTTAGCTTTGCTGTGTCTTATTCCATAATATGACTGTATATTCAGGGCAGGTCTGGACTATTTTGGTATTTATTAGTTTAGTCAACAATACGTTGTTTTATTTCTATACAATGTATGATTTAGTGGCTGTATAAAATAACCTTAACACTGTTTTGTAAATGTATTTGACTAGTTTATGATATCTTACTTTAAAATTGTCCATCATCAACATTTCAACTGCCAGTGAGCAAGATTGAATCATTTAAACTATTTATTTGTCATTTCTCAAATATCTAGTTCAAATAGAGTTCCCTTATGTGGAAGCTGATTAATGATTGGTTAACTCAAAAAAAGTGTATCTTCGATATATTCTCAACTACCAGTAATTTAGCTTTAATTTGGGAATAAATGTGTTTCCCCAGTTTGCATTTGAAATCAATTAATTATTAGTGTTATGCTACAACCACCATTTTACTAGTGACTAGTTATGAGGTGCTGGTGTGTCTTTAGTTCATTGTCACCTTACATTTGTATATGGATACCGTGAATGAAGATCTGATTGGATAACTGCTTGACCCTGTGTGTCGTAATTTCTTGTGTGGTATAGTCTTTGTTTAGCTATGTTGTGGAGTGGCTGGGGGTATGTGTTTGGTGGTGTGGGGTGGCGTAGTGAGGCAGGGGGGTTTGGATGTGGTGAAAGGGACAATATCGTCTAGTCAGCTGTAGACACTTTTTGTTAATACAAGTTGTCACATGACTGTTACACTCACTAGCTAGCTAGTGTATAGAAATATCAAATAAGATATTCAAGACAGCTATCACAAAATAACTTAGGTGTTTTACTATTTGAAAGGACCTAGCCTGATTGTTTCAATGTTATTTATGTCGGTTCTTTGGGTGAATCTAATTTGTTCATTTTGTGATGGTGTTTGAACATTTTTTTTTTTTTTGGGGGGGGGGGTCAAATTCCCCAATTTAATTTTTTGAGTTTCAATTTTCAATGTCACCAGAAAATGATTAATGTAGATTACATATTTCTAATGCTGTGTTTCAATGCAACTTCTCCTGTACAACAGGGTATGGATTGGTAATTTTAGCAGAGAATTCAATATCTGTCAAGATTTTTTGACGGTCTAAATATTTAAGACGAAGTAGTAAAATCGGTGATTTATATTTAATTTATTCAGCACGCATTGTTCATAAATTCTATTGTTTAGTGTGTCTTTGGTCGAATATGCTTTCCTTTCTCAATTGCTGAATTATGGTTGCTTGTTCTAAATTCAGACAGATTAATTTTTAGCTCCGTTGTCAACTTTGTCGAGCGGAGCTTATCATATATAAGTGATTGTCCGTCGTCATCGTCCGTCGTCGTCCATGTCAATGTTTTACTTTTTCGACTTCTTCTTGAAAACTACAAGCCTGAATGCTTTGATACTTCGTGTATATGTACCTTGGGTAGACCTCTCTCAGATTTGTTCATTTCATGATCATATCTTCAATTCTCTAATTTTGGTGAA